CAAGATCCTGAGAGGAGAATGGAGAAGGGATTGCGGCATGGCCATCCCCCCCCTTGGAGGTGATTTCTCGCTTTCTATCTCTCTGTCTTTCTCAGTCTTTCTAGTGAGCGCACGTGCAAAAATCTTTCCAAAAGAAAAAAAGGCAGCTAGGAAAGCCAACAGGAAATAAGTAAAGCTAATCCCAGCAAATGAACTATCTGGAGATCTCAAACAAGAACGATCCATGTCATGACTATGGTCTTGATGATAAACACACAACTCTTACCTTCCCACTGGGCGGGAATGGCAGGGCAGCAGATATAAGTATCTGTGTTTGGGTTTGTTTGTTTGTTTGTTTGTTTGTTTGTTTGTTTTAGATTTTTGCCATAGGGCATGTGCACTTGTTGAAGACAGAGAAAAGGAAAGTGGGAAATCAACCCTCTGGAGGAGATGGCCATACTGCAAGCCCTTCTCCTCCATTCTCCTTTTGTGTCTTTGGGCACGTATGCACATGTGCTTGGTGTGAATTTCAAGTCAGTGGGTCCAGAACTCAAACCACAGTTGGCCATGTTTGGGCTTTTTATGGACTACTTTCTTAGGCAGCTTTTACTGCCAACAATTTTCTCAATGCTCTAAGGATGAGTGGTGATATTTTCTTTCCTTGAGGTCAGAGATTTATTCTGATCCAGGGTCAGAATCTTCCTTTGAAATGAGGCTGTCCCAGTACCAATCTCAGAATGTGAAGGGCTTTACCAAGCCAAGTCTAGGTGGCAGGGACAGAAAAACTGGAGTCAAACCTCAGTTCCACCTCCTGCTAGGTGATCTGGTGGGTAACTTCTCTAGGTGTCCTCACCTGTAAATTAGGATGCTCACAATTTGTATGTACCTGAGATACTGTGAAGATCAAATAGTGTAATGTGTGTAAGTGGTTCTTGACCTTGGCTCTAAACTAAAGTCATCAGAAAGCATCTGAAAAGCCAGGTGTTTGGGCTGTGCTCCTTGAATGGAGATTGCACTCTTGGCTACAGATTAGGATCACTGCAGAAGCTTTTAAAAGTCCCAATGATCGGGCTTCATCTTGAAGTCAGAATCACTGAGGATAAACCCAGGTAACCATCTTTCACAAAGTTTTCCTGATGATTCCAATGGGCTCCCAAGACCCAGAACCACTGACAAATGTGAGCATTACTTTGAATGTATGTATCAAACACCTATAAGGAATCCTCTTCAGTATCAACTTGAAAATCAAATGTGACGACGGCAACATTGAATGATTAGAAGAGGTTTTTCAACACATTCTCAAGAGCTTCACAAAGTATGAAGTTTAATGAAGTAATTGTAAAGAATTAAGGTCTTTCTTTCAAATGATTGACAAATAATTTAGTCTATTATTGTGATTTAAAACTGCTCTCAGACGCTGATGTATACCCAATTCACCTGTAACTCTTTTTGTTTTCTTTTCTTTCTTTTCCTTTTTTTTTTTTTTTTTTTGCTCTAGGGCACATGCACTTACTAGAGTACTAGAGACAGAGATAAAGAGAGAGTAAAAGTGAGAAAACACCCTTTGGAGGCATAGGCACATTGTAATCCCTTCTCTTGGGATTTTGGGCATGGGTGCACAGGGGCTAGCATGTTTCTCAAGCTGCTGGTCCAAGACTTTGAACCATGAGGTAGGCCATGTGGGATCCAACCATTTTAACCTCCAGGCTATCTTCTGGCCCCACCTGCAGTTCTTTTTCAAATGCAGATTATGATTCATAGGCCGAGGTTCTGCATTTTTAACACTCCTAAGGGATGCCCTTGCTGTGCTGTGGAGGCCAGATGGCAGCATGACACTAGCACAATGCTCTGTGAGGATGACCCACATGAAAGGTCCTCGGTTCATGTTCAAAGACCTCCCTGAACACGCCAGGCATGCATGTGTGTGTACCTATGACCTAGGGCTGGCCGAAACTGGGAGTGAATTATGATAAAGATTCTGTTGGAGGGTGCTCCTCTTTATCTCATAGAAGAAAGAAAAATAGAAACTGTTTTAAAAAAGCTTTGGAGACAGACTGGGTTCAAGTGCTCATCCCATTTCTGAGTTGTGTGATGAGGGCAACAGTGTCTCTTCACGTTTTTGGTCATTAGTAGATTTCCCCTCCCCTTTCCCTCTTCTGGAACATACAGCCTCCTGTACTCTTCCCATGTGAAGGGACATTGCTGGTTTTTACTGCCCTTGGTCTCCTTAGGTAGGTTGAATTTTTATCATCTCAAAGACTGGTCAAACTGGTCCAATGAGGGTCTTCCCAGGGGTGGGTGGGGTCTAGGAGCATCAGCAGTCCCTGTTGGTGGAAGCTGTAGGGTCCAAAATCCCAGTAGAAGAGTGGAGAAGAAGGGATTGCAGCATGGCCATCCCTCCTGGGGGGTGATTTCTCACTTTTCCTTCCACTGTCCCACTTTCTCTGTTAGCACATTTGCCCTCTGGCAAAAACTTTAAACAAACAAACAAACAAACAAACATTGAGGGTGTTAACATGAGAGATCTCCAGAGGCATAGCAGAACATTTGAGTCCCTGCTCCCAGGAGTCTCCAACATGGTGCTGCTTTCCTGCCCTTCCCTGGTTATGAGCCATCTAAACCAGTTCTCCTTTTTACTTAAGTCAGTTTTTGTTAGGTTTCTCTCAATGCAGTAGAAAAAGAGAAAGAAAAAAAAAATCACCTGGAGCAATATCCTAATTATTCTGTGCATTAAGTTTACTTATCTGTAAGATGGGGCAAATAGTGGGATATAAGCCACAAGGTGGTTATGAAGGTTTAATAAGAGAAGGGACAAAAAACACAGTGTCTACCCTTAGTGAGTGTTCTGCTTAGTAATTTCCTGAGCCAGGCAGAAGTCTGCATCTACAAGAGGACTTCAAAAGTTCATGGAATAAAGGGAAGCAAACTAGGTGTTTATTTTGGTGCAAAATTTTTTGAATCTGTGCATAACTTTTTTACAATATGCATTTTCTATGGCTTTCTAGGACCACTTATATTTCAGATCATGATATTTTATCCAGGGGATTGTCCACGGTAAAGAATTTGGATTTCTGGTTCAATTTAGGACCAGACTGACTGCTTGAAGTCCACCTAGGATGTATGTTCTCAGTTCAATACAGACATGTGAACGGCACAGACTCACCCTGCCATACTCGCTACCCGATATACCCAACATCAGCTTGGTCTAGTCACTGCCCAGACTTAGCTGTTCACTAGGGGCTGTTAGACTGAGAGTTGGATCAGGAGCTGAGTTCTCCGCCAGCCTTCTTCGGAATGCACTTGGTCTAAGTTTAGCTGCTAGAAACTCAACGTGTCTTCAATTCTGGTCCTCACTGAGAGCTGTTACATCCAGCATGCCTTCTGAATTCTTAAAAATCCTCAAATCCCATTTCATAGAAATGCTCCATCCCCACTGTCCTATGTCAATACTACTGTGTATTTAATACCATGTAGCACATTAGAGGCGTTGGGATGGTGGAGCCTGATACTGCTTAAAGCGGATTTTGTTCTTATTTCAACGCCACACCTATCGATTGAGTTCTAGTTTTGTGCGAAGCTGGTGCTAGGCATGCCCTCCCTTACCCTGCCTCTCCTGCAGCCTCATGGTATGAGGCGGAGGAAACTAAAGGCAAACTAGGCAGGGGAGGATGTCACATTTTTGAGCTGCACCAGGAGCTATTAGCAGAGTGTGGGATGCCTATCGCAATGCAGAAACTGAATGTGGGAGACACCCAAGGATCTGACTCCCAGAAAGGGAACATTGCCAACGTGCTAGGAGCATAAAGTGGTACCTATTACTAGAGCGGTGGACTCATGGTTGGAGCTGGAAATGACGGCTTTCATCGAATCGTAGTAGTTCAGCTAGAAAGGAAAAGTGAAGAATTTGCTAATTAATATGAAGATCATAAACCAGAGTTTCTAACAATGTCTAAAGCATTCTTTTAAAATATATTTCACAAAGTAGAAAGGTATCACTTGTTCAGAGGATATGAACATTTTTTAAAAAAGCTCACATCCGCGTGGGCAGACGTGTGATGGTGGCTTGCTAGAGTGCGGGGTGTGTGAGGCTCTTCTTGTGCTCCAGGCTAACACCAGAACAAACAATTCCTGGGTGTCCTGCCTGACAGACCGTGCTGAAGCTTCTGCTGTCTACTTCAGATTTTTCTGAGAAAATCTGAATGCTGCCTGCATACTACGGGGCTTTTTCAGAGAAAATGATTTCTCCTTCCCTACAAGTGATCTTTAAATTGAAAGCTATGCTGAGCATCAGACTAGGAGAAGCCAAAGTCTCATTTCCCCCTTTGAATACTGGGAGCTGGGTCCTGAAACAGATGGGCAATGATCTGAGAGCCAGGGTCTTCAGGCAGGACACTGGAGGAGGGCCAGGGCCAGTCTCACAAGTAAGGGACGAGGTTTAGTGGGATTTGGGGAGTTTCTCTCCTCTTGGGCCACCTTCTTCCTTATGATGAGCATGTAGAAGTAGAGAGAAGAAGAATGATGACCAGAGGCTGGGAAACGTGGGGCAGGGAACATAGAGGGATGTTGATGAAAGGAACAGAATTACAGAAGATAAGAGGAGAGATGCCTAATGTTACAAAGCATAGTAGAGAGAATGTGGTTAATAACAATGAACTGTAGATGGCTGAGTAAGTGAAAAAGAAATGTTCCCAACACAAAGTAATGACAAATGGTCGAGAGGATGGATCTACGAATTACCCTGATTTAATCATTACACGTTGTATTCATGTATTGAAAAATTGCATTTTATCCTCATGAATGTACAATTATTATATGTTAATAGAATTTTCAACAGAATATGAGCCTGTAAGTTGTGTAACGTCATATACTGTTGGGAAAGTAACATGTTATTTGCAAAGAATGTTATGCTCATCACCGAGTCATTGCTGGCTCGATGCTAGACTCACAGGAGGCTGCAATGAAGACAGCCAATCCTTGGTTTGGCTGCAAAGAATGTTATGCTCATCACCAAGTCATTGCTGGCTCCATGCTAGACTCACAGAAGGCTGCAATGAAGACAGCCAATCCTTGGTTTTAACTTCATGGAGTGCAAAAACCAGAAACCTGAAGGAACAGGAAAGGGAAAGGGAGGTTTGGAGAGAAGGGAGAGTGTCTGGAATTTGGGGAGTGGCCCAGGACAAGGGCCACCTGCAGAGTGGAGCATTTCAGGCCCCTGAAACGGCCCCACACCCTTTCTCTGTTGGACAAAGCTCCCCAGAGTGGCTCCATGTGGTCATCTGAAGGAACAGGGTGATGCTCATACCCTCTGAGGTGTGGAACAAAAGGACTATACAACCGGAGGGCTCTCCCACTACATGGTTCCTTTCTGTAAGCATCCATTTCTGTACTGCAATGCCAGCATCATTGCCTGGCTTTGTTTTCACTCTAGAATTCAGACCCTGCTTCTGTCATCCCAGTCCTCTGCACAAGGCCATATCCTGGGCAGCACTGGTTGCACCCTGGGTACTGTCCCTTCTACCTCTGAGGCACAGGAGGCTGACAGGGCCAGTCAGAGGAGGTGGGCTATGTAGGAGAGTCCAGTCTGGGGGCTAGTAATTCTGGGGGACAGCAAGAGAATCCACACTCAACTAACAGCATGAAAGAAGCCAAAAGGCAAGGCTGGCAGGTGGTACAGTGGTTAAGGCACTGGACTCCTCACATGGCCAACTATGGTTCGAGTTCCAGACCAAGCGACTTGAGATTCACAGTGGTCCCATGTGTGTGTTCTCAAAATCCTGAGAGGAAACGGAGGAGAAAGGATTGTGGCATGGCCATGCACCCTGGAGAATGATTTCTCATTTTCCCTTTGTCTCTTTCTTTCTCTGTCTCTCTGGTGAGCACATGTGTGGTATATAGCAAAAATCTCACATAACTAAATAACTATTAATGCCTTTGGCATTTATTTATTTACTCATAGGAAGTGGGCTACAACAGGCAAATGGATGGAGACAGAAAGTAGACTGAGGCTATTGGAGCTTGGGTGGGACAGAAAGAAGGAATATTATTGGGGTGATATAAATGTTCTAAAATTAGATGATGGCAACAATTGTGCAACTCAGTAAACTTACTAACAACCAGTAAAGTGTATGCTTAAGATGGGCGAATTCTGTTGATGTGATATGTAAATTATACCGCAATAAAGTTGAAGGAAAAAGAGTCTTGTCCCAACTACTCTTGAGAAACACTATTATATATGCCTGTTTGGTCAGATTATTGTTTTCTTTTTGTATCTAACTCACTTAATTCACATTGCTGTTCTACTGCAGCCTCGCTGCTGTGCTTCTCTCTGTTTGAAACTTGATTGGTCTTCCTCCTGTGGACAAATGCTCTTTTCTTGGTTCAGTTTTGCTCCCCCTTTAATTTTTCTTTTCAGTTATCAGAGAAACTTGGTGGAGTTCCCATTTTGCCCTTTTACTCAATATTTCCTACTACTCTTTTCTTCCCTAAGGCTTCTTAAGACTCTTCTCCCCTGCAGGCTGCTATGCTCACCACTAGATTTCCAACATAAGAACTGCTCTGCCTGGGATAAACTTGATGTGTTAGAGAGAGCTCAGAGACACTGGATGAGCCTGTGCTCTTCTGCTGGATGCTCCATCTGCTCCTGTTCCTTAAGACATAGTGTCTACTCTGTGTTTGGTTTCTGGACTCTCTTAACATAAAGGACAGTGTCTTGCTGTTATTTTATTTTTAAAAATCATTTTATTTAACTTTATTTAGTTATTTAATTTGATCAGAGAAAGACAGAGCAAGAGAGAGGGAAAGTGAGAAAGCGAGCCTCCAAGTCTGGGACTCAAACTGTGGCTGGCCATATTGGAGTCTAAGGCTCTGAACGGCCGTCTTACCTGCAGGTCCTAATGTCTTGCTTTTATTTCCCCTCAATTTTATTTCTTTCTTTTGTGAATGGGAAAGAAAGAGATATAGAGGTAGAGACAGGTGCCCCCCCAACAGGTCTTGATGCCATGATACATCCCCATCTTTAAGCAGACCTAGATCAAAGGCCTGTGTGTGCCCCAGTGTACTCAAGGAGGTCTCGAAAGGAACCCAGAACTTTCCCATGTGAATCAGCTTCACAGAGTGTTACATTTTACTGCTACACCACCATTCAGGCCCTGTCTTTTATTTATTTATTTATTTATAGTTTTATTATAGGACATGTGCACTGCTAGAGACAGAGACAGAGAGAGAAAGAGGGAAAGTGAGAAAGCATCCCTCCCCCAAGGGAAGATGACCACACTGCAATCCCTTCTTCTCCGTATCTCTGTTCTTTGGGAATTTGGGGCATGCATGCACATGTCTGGTGTGTTTCTCAAGCTGCCAGGTCTAGGACTTGAACCATGCAGTTGTGTATGTGGGATCTGCCTTAACCATCACTCCATCTGCTAATTCCTGTCTTTTTTCTTTTTTCCTTTTTTAGTTTTTTTTTTTTTTTTGCCATAGGATGTGTGTGCTCACCAGAGAGAGACAGACCAGGAAAATGAGATCTCACCCCTGCAGGGGAAATGACCACGCCACAATCCCTTCTCCTCCATTCTCCTGGGATTTTGTACATGCAAGTACATGTGCCTAGCATGATCTTCAAGCTGCTAAGTCTGAGTCTTACACCACAGTGTGCCATGTGGGAATCACCTGAACCACCACACTACCTGCTGGTCCCCTGCCTCATCTTTTTTTTTTTTTTTTTTTTTAATGTATTTAAGAAATACCAATTTAGCTTCTCAGAGCCAAAAGAAATCTCAAGGAATCAATCTTATGTGCATAATCACATGACTGGTCTTAAGACATTCTCTTATTTAAGTTGGCTCTTAATCCAAGAAGAATGAAAACTTACCAATTTCCAACCCAGAGGATACCTGGGGCAAGGACTTCCAGACCCATCACGCCAGAAGGTTCAAAGTGATTAATTTCACCAGGTTCTGGAAACTAGATATTTATTATTCTTTGTACTATTTTGTGCATGTCTTATAAAATTTATATTTTTTGTTTTCAGGTTTATGAAGTGTCTTAGGATCAGTGATGGCTTATTAAAGAATACTTCCGAGGTGGCTGAATGGTGGCACAGCAGTAAACGGTAATGCTCTGCAAGGCAACCCACAAGGGAAGGTCCTGGGTCTGTGCCTAGAAAGCTCCCTGAATATACCAGATATGTGTGTGCCCATGATCTGGGGCTGACTGAAGCTGTGAGTGGATAATGGCATCAAGACTCTCTTGGGAATGCAGTCTCTCTGTCTCTCCTGCTAACAAAATAAACAGACTTAAAAAAGAAAAGATACAGGGCCAGTTAGCGGCATGGAGGTTAAGGCTGCTCAATCTCACATTGTCAACTCCCAGACCTGGCAGCTTGAAAATCATGCAGGGCACATGTGCAAGGACACTGAAAATCCCAAAAGGAGAATGGAGGGGAAGGGACTGTGGCATGACCATCCCTCCTGGGGGGTGATTTTTCACTTTCCTTCTCTCTCTCTGGTGAGTGCACATGTCTTATAACAAACTTAAAAACAAACCAACAGAAACATACTATTCTTATTTATTTGACTGTTTGGATGATACACCTGGAGAGAGAAAGAGCAGGATAACAGACTCTAATTCACTTCCACTTTTACCTTTTAAATATTTTTACCTGAGTAACCCAGTCTCCATGAACTTTCCAACGGATATAGTTTACATTTGGAGAGGTTATAGCATTATTAATGGTGATGTTCGGCATGTTTTCAACTTTGGGCATCTTCTTCCAAGTTCTAAAGAGAAAAACATTTTAAAAAATCTCAAAAGCTAAGACTGACTGTTCCACCTTCTGCTCATTTGAACCAGGAGCTGCTTTTCAGGTTAGCACTCCCTTCTTCATCTCCTTCACTCATATGAATTCTTCCCATTCCCTGAAGCTTTGCTAAATCACCCACGGGAGCCTCTCTGAATATGCCATACCATCCGACCAACTCCTTTTTCTGGAGTCTGGAGAAGCCAAGGGTGCAATCACCACCTTTGATATGTGCTGTCCTTGTTTTCTCACATGATACATACGACTTGCAGGCCAGGGTGTTTCTGTTCAGCCCATGAGGCCTGGGAGAGAGCTGGACTCCACGGCTGACTGGGTGAGCTCAAAGCACTGCCCTTGTGTGTTCTAGTGGGGCCTGGGCAGATGGTGGCATCAGTGACCTCACACGTGGTAAAAGCTCTTGACTTGCCTATGAATTATCTATTATCTGAATGCTGTGAGACAGACTGCTTTTCCCAGAGCCCAGGCAGAAACAGGGCAGTTGTAATGCCAAGGAATGATTAACTGGTAGAGGGTGCCGTGGTTGTCTATGCAACACACTCTCCCCCTTCCTCCCTGTCAACAAAACCAAGGCAGAGATCCCTTGATTTTAGGGGCATCATGCGACCTAATTCTGGTTAATGAGGTAAAAGTGAAATCAGCAGAGGAGCACTAGAAAATTATTTTCCTCCTTAACAAATGTGAAATTAGTGTGAGACTGTCTCTCTCTCTCCCTGTTTTTCCTCCCCCTTGAGTGGTTCTGCCTTTGTTTTTTTTTTTATTTTAAAGAAAGTCAGTGTGTCTGGAGCTATAGCAGCCATTGTGAGACCATGAGGCCATGGACTGAAGAGCAAAATACCAACATACTAACAATGGTGAATTGACAGCTTGGAAACTGAAGGCTCTTGATGAAATCATCAATAATTGAAACCACTGCAAGCAACCACTTATACCCTGACATTTTTACTAAAAAAAAACAAACCCAAAAAACAAAAACCCAAGAAACAAAAAATTAACTTCTTTATTATTTGTTAGTAGTAATTTTTTTGTTACTTAATAGCAATCATTTATTAAGCTCTTACTATGTGTCAAGCACTATTTCAAGTACTTTACACACACTGATCATTAAGTAACCAAATGAACTCATTAACTCCTTCACATAAGCCTATGAGATAGGTACTGTAATTATTCCTTTTGAAAAAGCAATTAAGATAGAGCATGTGCCTGTGCACATGAGAATAGAGAGACACAGAGAGAGAATCTTCCACAGGGGTTGATCACAGTGCAACCTCCTTCCCTGAGTCCTCCAGCCTGTCAGATTTGGGGCACTCATGTTTCAGGCCAATGAAACTGGGGATTCCAACTGTAGTCAGCATGTGGGATCTGGCTCTTCTTGAGTAAGAGTCTTGATGCCACAATCCATCCCCTACATCAGCCAGCCCTAGATCATGTTCACACATAAGCCTGGTGTGTTCAGGGAGGTTGCTGGATCCAAACCCGGAACCTTCCCATGGGGGGGTCAGCCTGACAGACCATTGCATTAACATTGCACCACTTTCTGGCCCTTACATTATTTTGACAAGACAAAAGATGAAGTTCAAGGTGATCAAATGGACTCAAACTCACCAAGCCAGGACCATGATGAACTGTTACCTGGATCTAACCAAACCAACATCACAGTAGATGAAAAAAACAGATGAAGATTATCTAAAACGTTCTTGTAGGTACCCTCAATAACAGGGGAGCAGCTTTTGTCATGAATAAGCATACTTGTGAAACATATTATAAAGAGGAAGTTAGTGGAAGAGAGCCAGAAAACTTTTTGAGGGAAATTTCAACAGAAGAAGATCGAGAAGAAAGTGAGCTGAAGGATTCTCAAAGTACCAGAAAAGAAGCAGGCTGAGGAGACACACTTGTTATCTGTTCTGTTGTCAGAAAACAGACACTTCATAAAGTAACAGTAGATGTTGTTAACTGCTTCTTGAACATTGCTTTTCAAAAAGAGTTGTTACATTTAGCCAGTGAGATCAGATACATGGGGTATTGCTATGGAAGCAAATTTATACAATTCAGTCAGTCTAAGGGGACAATTTCACCCGTAGAAAGGAGGGTGTCAAATGGTCGACTTTAGTTATGAGGCCCCATAACCTGAAAGTAGAAATGAGGTCTACTGGGTCCTGCTCCGTTTAACATAAATCCCCATACATTGCTCAGCCTTACGCTTGTGATCCTCTTCATCAGCCTCCCCGTTGCTGAGGTGACAGGCACACAGGCCATCATGCCTGTAGGTTGGACTACAAATTGAACCTGGGCCGCCCGTATGGTCCCTACCTGCAGGGTTCAGCATTTTAGCAGTGCATGCTACTCAACTCTGGCTTTGTTTTTGTTCTCTTGAATGAATAATTTGAACAAAAATATATACAGCTGTGCCAGCAATTAAAAAGTACTAGAGGCCAACCACGGTGGCACAGCAGTGACACGGGGCTCCATGATGCTGAGGCCATATGAGAAAGTCCCAGGTTTGCATCGCAAGGTCTCTCTGTACTTGCCAGGCGTGCGTACACACGTGTTTGTGATCCTGGCTGGCTGAGGCTAGGAGTGGATGAAGGCCCTGTGGGGGTCCTTGTCGCTCTCTTCCTTTCTCTCTCTCTCGCACTTTCTACTCTCTCTTCCTTTCTCTCTCTCTCTTGCACTTTCTATGTCTCTCTCATGGAAGAAATACCTAATAAAATGCACTTCTCTCTCATGGAAGAAATACCTAATAAAATGGGAAACGAATTACTAGGGGAAAACCCCAATATTATGATTGCTTTGAGAGTCCAGCACAGTCCCAGGATGGCCGGCATTGTGTGTAAACACATCTTGCCTATAGGCTGGGGTGGTACATAGATTGTCATGCCAGGCTGTATCTACGCTATTTTAGTCACCTCAAAGGATCCCTCATAACTCTGAAGTGGCCCCACAGTTCTGTAATCTGTTAGTCATGAGAACATCAATGGTACATTATGTACAATTAGTCTATCCACTTGGAATGCTTTCCACGGCACCCAGGATGCCTGGGTTTCAATCCTTATTCTGTTCCTTGCTAACATTGTGCAAGTTATTTACCTCTCTGTGTCTCAGTGTTTACATGCTTAAGAAGGGATAATAGAATCCAATGTTGCATGGTGGTCAAAGGCGCTGGATTCCCCTATGGCTGACCTTGGTTTGAGTCCTGGACCTGGTGACTTGCTTTCTCACTTTCTCACTCTGTCCCTTTCTGGTCAAATTGAAATAAACAAATGAATAAATAAATAAATAAAGTTAAATAAAAATAATTATTAAAAATAATCCTCTGTTGAGAGTGCCATTTATCTCTCTGCCTTTTTCTGCCTCTGTAACTCTCTTACTCTGTCTCTCATTCACAGAAGGGAGGAAGGAAGGAAGGAAGAGAGAGAGAGTGAGAAAGAAAGAAAAAAAGAAGAACAAAAGAAATGTAGAAAAAAATTCTAGTACTTATCCAAGCATTAGCATGAATCCTTGAGCAATTGACTAGAGGGGTCATCAGTGAAACTGGAACCTTAGGTCTCCTGCCCCTGCCCAGAGCCCCTGATGAGGCTACACAGTCTGTGTGTAGTCTTTGAGAACCCACTTCCACACTGTGAGGGCAAGGAGTCTGGAAACCCCAGTTCATAGCTGTGGAAAGCCTCTGCCACGTGGGACTTGCTCTCAGCAGATACACTGAGCAGTTGTTTTATTCTGTGTGTGTGTGTGTGTGTGTGCGCGCCCATGTGTTGGGGAAGGGGCTATTCATTTCAGAACAAAGATCTAACAAATCCCCCCACACACACCACACACACCCCTAAATGCAGCTGAAGGATACTGTGAATTGTTCTACTGTGTCATTTAAAAGGGACAATACACACACACCACACACCCCCCTAAATGCAGCTGAAGGATACTGTAAATTGTTCTACTGTGTCATTTAAAAGGGACAATTTCTGCAATAGTTGTCTATTTCCCCCCGAAGGTGTTCTTGTAGCGTATCCTTCGTGCAAAGTCCAGATGTGTGCTACCCTGGTGGGAGGTCTTCAGTGACACACCACAGGATCGGGCCTGTCTAGCATTCTTATCTAGGACTTGTATGAATACATAGGAGCACTATTAAGTTTATCTATGACATTATGCTGAGTGAGATAGTCAATCTGCTAGATGTCAATATTAGCATTAAAAATGACTTTAACCAAAGAGAATAAAGATGCAAAAATAATAATAAAAAGAGATAAAAAGGATGAAAGCCGTGGATTTAGTTTCAAAACATCAACATACAGGTAAAAGGTGGGGAATACATGGCTTGAACATGGGCAGTAATGTATCAGCAGACAAGACTCGCTGGGTCATGTGCTTGGCGGTGTCCAGTGTAGAGCACTCAGGGCCAGGCTGATGAGATGTTTCAAATTCAGGTCATATGAAGGATAACTGAGATAACTAGAAATGTGTACCTGGGAGAGAGAGGACTTAACAGTCATCTCGAAACACTTGAAAACTGGAACTTTTTTGAAAATTATGTTTTGTTAGCTTTCCTTTTTTGTTTTTAAAGTTTATTCCTTTTGCATGTGAGAGAGACAAAGAGAGAGGGAGAGATACAGTATCCTCCAACAGGGTCCTGTTGCTGTGATCCACACCCCCAGCCTCAGCTGGCCCTGGACCATAAGCACACATGTGCCCAGAGCACCCAGAGAGGTCTCTAGACATGTACTGGAACTGTCTTGTGAGTCAGCCTCCTGCAGCATCGTGTTTTCCAACTGGGTCATTGTTTTCTCTTTTTTTGAAAAAAGAACATTAATTTTGATTTTTATTGAAATTACATGCATTTTCTTACAGAGTCAAATAGTTCTATGAGTTTAAGAACTCACTTCCATCTGTGTTTCCAGAGGCCTTGATAATCCTTTAGTCAATCATTTGGCTATTTAGTCCATGTCTTTAGATAAGGTGTCTGCATTA